AGAGCCTACACTCTGCCATGTTCCCCAACCTGGTGCCGAAGTGGCTCACGCCGTTCCCCTCCCCTCCCCGCTTTATCCTCACGACAACCCTGCGAGGTAGACCCAACTGGATTGGAGGGCAGTTAGCACCCTAGAGATGTCAGAGGAGCCGTGCTGCATCAGAGCAGTGAGGGTCCATCTCGCCTAGCGTCCTGTTTCGCGCCATGGCCAACCAGCCCCCCTGGAGGGCAGACCGGAGGCTAAAAAACTGTGAGCTGGCTCACACTGACTCAGCCTAGAGGGAACACTGGTTAGTCTTAAAGGTGCCACTGGAGACAGACTTTGGTGTAGTGGTTAAGCGTGCGGACTCTAATCTGGGAGAACCCGGTTTGATTCCCCACTCCTCCACTTGCACCTGCTGATGTCACCTTGGGTCAGTCACAAGCTCTGACAAGAGTTGTCCTTGAAAAAGAGCCGTTTCTGTCAGAGTTCTCTCAGCCCCACCCACCTCACAGGGTGTCTGTTGTGGGGAGGGGAAGGGAAAAGGAGTTTGAAAGCTGCTCTGAGACTCCAAGTGAAGGGCGGGGTATAAATTCAATCTCTTCTCTTCTTCTTCTTCTTTTTAAAGTGGCTATGAACTTGGGGGACTGTGTGCATGCAGAGGCGGTGCCTTTCCACTGATCCACGGGCCTTCCCCACAGTGTAGCATCTGGGTAGAACTAAGAGTTGGGAGAGCCATGTTCAAATCCTTCCTCTGCGCTGAGGCTCACTGAGTGATCTCAGGCCGGGTGTGCTCTCTCAGCTGGACAGGCCTCACAGGGTGGGGAACGGAGGAAGATGTGTACTGCCCTTTGCTCCTTGGAGAAGGAATGCGATAAAATGTGGGAGATAAAACCCCTCCTGTCCTTTCTTAGCGTGAGTCCCAATTATTCCCTCTCTTTCTTTCGTTTGCCCTTTGCTAACACTAGTCATCTTGAACCCGCCGTTGCTACCCAAGGATCCTTTCCCTGAATTCCCCACTGCTTGGCATGCAGGAGGTCCCAGGTTTAATCCCCAGCATCTCCAGTTGAAAGGACTAGGCAGGAGGTGACGGGAAAGACCTCCGCCTGAGACCCTGGAGAGCTATAAAGAGGGGCTGTGGCTCAGCGGAAGAGTCTCTGCTTGGCATGCAGGAGGTCCCAGGTTCAATCCCCGGCATCTCCAGTTCAAAAGGATCAGGCGGGAGGTGACGGGAAAGACCTCCGCCTGAGACCCTGGAGAGCTGTAAAGAGGGGCTGTGGCTCAGTGGAAGAGCCTCTGCTTGGCATGCAGAAGGTCCCAGGTTCAGTCCCCGGCATCTCCAGTTAAAAAGGATCAGGCGGGAGGTGACGGGAAAGACCTCCGCCTGAGACCCTGGAGAGCTGTAAAGAGGGGCTGTGGCTCAGCGGAAGAGTCTCTGCTTGGCATGCAGGAGGTCCCAGGTTCAATCCCCAGCGTCTCCAGTTAAAAAGGACCAGGCAGGAGGTGATGGGAAAGACCTCCACCTGAGACCCTGGAGAGCTGTAAAGAGGGGCCGTGGCTCAGCAGCAGAGCCTCTGCTGGGCATGCAGAAGGTCCCGGGTTCAATCCCCGGCATCCCCAGTGAAAAGGGCCAGGGAGGAGGTGATGCGAAAGACTTCAGCCTGAGACCCTGGAGAGCCACTGCCAGTCTAAAAAAATACTGACCTGGATGGACTGTAAAGAGGGGCTGTGGCTCAGTGGCAGAGCCTCTGCTTGGCGTGCAGAAGGTCCCAGGTACTGACCTGGATGGACTGAGGTTCTGATTCAGTATAGGCACTTTGTGTGTTCATGTCTCTCATTTCTGCCTTGTCAGAGTTTAAGAACATAAGAGAAGCCAATGTTGGGTCAGGCCAGTGGCCCACCCAGTCCAACACTCTGTGGTCACACAGTGGCCAAAAATACCAGGGGCCATCGGGAGGTCCAGCAGGGGGGCCAGGACACTAGACGCCCCTCCCACTCTTGTCCCCCCCACCCAAGCACCAAGAAGACAGAGCATCCCTTGCCCCAGACCGAGAGTTCCTATCTATACCTTGTGGCCAATAGCCCCTGATGGACCTCTGCTCCAGATGTTGATCCAATTCCCTCTTGCAGCCGTCCATGCTTGTAGCCGCCACCACCCCATGTTTGGACCCTCGGGGTTGTTTCCGTTCACCCTCCCTGCTTCCCTCCCTCTCCTGACGGGTGGCTGTCTCCCTCCCTTCCTCCCCCTGCCAAATTATGCAGTCCTCAGTCGCTGCCGGCTGTCCAAAGTCCCGGCTCGAGCCTCTTCACGTGGTGTTTTGCAGGAGTTAAGGTGGAAAAGGTGAATCCGGGTCAGGTTTGTTTTGTTTTGCAAAGTTTTGTGTGTGTGTCTGCTTTTATTATCTTTTGGGGAAGACGCCATCTAAGTAAATACTTGTCGCCGTGGTGGTTGCGCGCGAGGTATAAGTAGTATGCTGTTTGTAAGACGCTTGCCTGTGGCAGTTAAGGGTTGTCTGTGCGTGACTCGCCCTGAACTGTATGGCCCAGGCTAACCTGATGCGATTGGATCTCGGAAGCTAAGCAGGGCCGGCCCTCTGTTAGTACTTGGATCACTGAGGAAGGCCACGGTTGCTATGTAGACGCAGACAAGGGCAAACAAGTTTGGCGTCGTGGTTAGGAGCGCGGCCTCTGATCTGGGAGAACCGGGTTTGATTTCCTGCTCCTCCACATGCAGCTGCTGGTGTGACCTTGGGCCAGTCACAAGTTCTTTCAAAGCTGTTCTCTCACGAGCAGTTCTCGAAGGACCTCTCTCAGCCCCACCCACCCCACAGGGTGTCTGTTGTGGGGAAGGGAAAGGAGATTGGAAGCCGCTCTGAGACTCCTTCGGGTAGTGAAGGGCGGGGTATAAAGCCAATCTCCACCTTCTCCTCCTCCTCTTCTTCTTCCCCACTCCTCCACTTGCAGCTGCTGGATGACCTTGGGCAAGCCATAGTTCTGTCAGAGTTGTTCCTGAAAAAGAGCAGTTTCTGTCAGAGTTCTCTCTGCCCCACTGACCTCACAGGGTGTCTGTTGTGGGGAGGGGAAGGGAAAGGAGTTTGTCAGCCGCTCTGAGACTCCTTCGGGTAGTGAAGGGAGGGGGATACATCCAATCTCTTCTTCTTCTTCTTCTGGATGACCTTGGGCAAGCCGTAAGAGCTGTCCTTGAAAAAAGAGCAGTTTCTGTCAGAGTTCTCTCCCCCCCACTGACCTCACAGGGTGTCTGTTGTGGGGAGGGGAAGGGAAAGGAGTTTGTGAGCGGCTCTGAAACTCCTTCGGGTAGTGAAGGGCCAGGGGTATAAATCCAATCTCCTCCTCCTCTTTCTTCTTTACATCTCTTGCCCTGACCTGGTTAACCCACAGTAGCTTGATCTTAAGAACATAAGAGAAGCCATGTTGGGTCAGGCCAGTGGCCCCTCCAGTCCGACACTCTGTGTCACACAGTGGCCAAAAATACCAGGGGCCATCAGGAGGTCCAGCAGTGGGGCCAGGACACCAGAAGCCCTCCGATTCTTGCCCCCCCCCAGCACCAAGATTACAGAGAAGAGAAGCCATGTTGGATCAGGCCAGTGGCCCCTCCAGTCCAGCACTCGGTGTCACACAGTGGCCAAAACCCAGGGGCCATCAGGAGGTCCACCAGCGGGGCCAGAACTCCAAAAGCCCTCCCCCCCTCCCCCCCCCCCCAAAGCACCAAGAATCTTGTTAGATCTTGGAAGCTGAGCAGGGCTGACTCTGGTGAAAACTTGAATGGGAGACCACTAAGGAAGTCCAGGGTTGTTACACAGAGGCAGGCCATGGCAATCCACTTCCGAACGTCTCTTGCCTTGAAAACCCTTTGGGGTCTCCATAACTGGGCTGTGACCGGACAAGGAAGTTTCACGGGGGTGGGGGGGGATTTATTTATTTTTGTTAAATAACCTCTCCTGCCAGTTCACCACCACCACCACCACCATGAGATGGTTTTGTTGAATGCAATTTCCCTGTGTCTGGCTTCTCCAGAACGACGTTTGAGTCCTTTAAGACCGACACGTTTAACTCCAGAATAAAGCTTTATTCCAGGAAAGATTCCAGAATAAAACTTATACCCAGAATAAACCTTTGTTGGTCTTCAAGGTGCCGCTGGACTCAAACTTTGCCCTGCTGCTTCAGACCAACACGGCTCCCCCCACCCCCACCCCCGAATCCGGCGTCTCCAGAGTTTCTGTCGCTGCCCTGGGAGAGACAGACCTGTGGCTGCACTGTAAAGCTGGGCGGAAGCAGATCTGCCCGCTGGCAAGGAAGGAAATGACTTTTTTCTTCTTCTGCTTCCCCACTCCCGAGCATTTTGTGTCCTAATACCGGTTGTGCATGTCGTGATGCCGGCTGCACCGTTGCGAGTTAGTAAGCGGCGCGTCGAAGGCCTTCTCAGTCCAGTTGTTGTGTTACAATCCGGTTTCTCCCCCTTCCCTGCGCAGCTGCTGAGACGGTCTTTCAACTGAGAACCACGACACAGACTGGTGTACCAAGTTTCCCTGTGAGATCTCTGCTCAAGAAAGCTGCAAAAACATGCGCTTATATACTTACCACAATAGATATCTATTCATTCACATCAAGTGAAATCATACAGAAGTTTACAATATTTTGAAATAATCGGAACAATACATCTCATAAGATGGTGTAACAGGTAAGTGAAACAGTATGAGTTGTTGACAAAAATCTCTGGTTTTCAGATTCCATTTCGAAGAGACTTCCTCTGAATGTCTACGGACTTCTGCTTAGACGGGCATAGACGGGTAGGTGTTACTAGGGAATATGCCTGTCTAAGCAGAAGTCTTAATTAAGATCGCTGGGAATAAGATCAACAACCTCAGATATGCAGATGATACCACTCTAATGGCAGAAAGTGAAGAGGACCTTAAGAGCCTCTTGCTCTGAGTGAAAGAGGAGAACACAAAAGTGGGCTTGAAGCTCAACATCAAAAAAACTAAGATCATGGCATCCGGCCCCATCACTCCTTGGCAAATAGAAGGGGAAGTCGTGGAAGTAGTGACAGGCTTCACGTTCCTGGGATCCCAGATCACCACAGACTGTGACAGCAGCCATGAAATTAAAAGACTCCTGCTCCTTGGGAGGGAAGCAATGGCGAACCTAAACAGCATGATAAAAAGCAGAGACATCACCCTCCCAACAAAAGTCCGCATGGTCAAAGCAATGGTATTCCCAGTAGTCATGTATGGCTGCAAGAGTTGGACTATAAGGAAGGCCGAGCGCCGAAGAATAGATTCTTTTGAACTATGGTGCTGGAGAAGACTCTTGAGAGTCCCTTGGACTGCAAGAAGATCAAATCGGTCAATCCTAAAAGAAACCAACCCTGACTGTTCCCTGGAAGGCCAGATAATGAAGCTGAAGCTCAAATACTTTGGCCACCCAATGAGAAGGGGGCACTCACTGGAGAAGGCCCTGATGCTGGGAAAGATTGAAGGTCAGAGAAGACGGGGGCGGCAAAGGATGAGATGGTTAGACAGTGTCATGGATGCAACGAACATGAAATTGAGCCAACTTCAGAGGACGGCGGAAGACCGGAAGGCCTGGCATGATCTGGTCCACGGGGTTGCGAAGAGTCGGACTCGACTGTGCGACTGAACAACAACAACAAGCAGAAGTCTGTAGATCACGGATCAGGAAATCAACAGTTTGGAATGAATACTTATTGGAAACCAAAGAAAACATCTTGTTGTTTGTTGCCACTCAAAAAGTTTGATGACGTTCAGAGGAAGTCTCTCCGAAACGGAATCTGAACTCCGGAGATTTTCGTCAACAAACTCATACTGTTTCAACTTACTTGTTACATCGTCTTATGACATGTGTTGTTCCGATTATTTCAAAATATTTTAAACTTTTGTATGGTTTCACTTGATGTGAATGAATAGATATCCATTGTGATAATTATATAAGTGCATGTTTTTGCAGCTTTCCTGTGTGTTTTTTGCTGTCATCCTATTTGCGGCTGTGACCTTTTTGTTGTAGGTAGATCTCTGCTCAAGGCAGATGTGGTGTTACACTCTGCTTTGTATCTTCTTATCTCCCCCACCCCAGAAGAGGATCCGGGGTCCTTTGGTCCATCAAAGTCGGTACTGTCTACTCAGTTTGGCAGCCGCTCTCCAGGGTCTCAGGCAGAGAACTTTCACATCATCTGTTGCCTGGTCCTTTTTGGTGTCGCGGTTAAGTGCATGGACTCTAATCTGGGAGAACTGGGTTTGATTCCCCACTCCTCCACTTGCAGCTGCTGGTGTGACCTTGGGTCAGTCACAGGTTCTCTCAGCTGTTCTCTCAAGGGCAGTTCTCGAAAGAGCTCTCTTAGTCCCACCTTCCTCACAGGGGGTCTGTTGTGGGGAGAGGAAGGGAAAGGAGGTTGTAAGCTGCTCTGTGACTCCGAGTGAAAGGCAGGGTATAAATCCAATCTCTTCTGGGGATTGAACCTGCGACCTCCTGCCTGCCAAGCAGAGGCTCCGCCACTGAGCCACAGCCCCTCTTTACAGCTCTCCGGGGTCTCAGGTGGAGGTCTTTCCCATCACCTCCTGCCTGGTCCTTTGTAACTGCAGATGCCGGGGACTGAACCTGGGACCTCCTGCATGCCAAGCAGAGGCTCTTCCACTGAGCCACAGCCCCTCTTTACAGCCCTCCAGGGTCTCAGGCGGAGGTCTTTCCCATCACCTCCTACCTGCTCTTTTTTAACCGGAGACGCTGGGGATTGAACCTGGGACCTTCTGCCTGCCAAGCAGACGCTTTCTCACTGAGCCACCCGCAACCCCTCCCCTTTGTAACTTGGTACCTTGTGTGTGGTGGTGCCAGGTTCAAAGATGGCAACTCTTACCTTTCCGATCTCCTCCATGTTTTGTTACCATCGACCGGGCGAGTTCCGTCGGAGGCTTAACCTTTCTCCTCTTCCTCCTCCTCCTCTCCGCAGCCCCGCAGGAATCCCACCGGGAACCACTCTCAGTCGGCATCTCCCGAGATGGCGACCTCGGTTGACTTTGTGGGCGTGTGTCTGAGCAGGGGCAAAGTGCCCGGGCGGATGGGGACGCAACAGGTAGGTGGCATGCCCACTAGCCTCCTTCTGCGGGGCCCTCGGGGGACAGGCAGGAGGCTGGTGTTTTTTTCTGATATCTCTTGAGTGGATACGTCTCAGGCTCTAGAAGAGACGGAGAAAGACGGCTTAGTCCATAGCATTTGCTGACTGGTAGCCTTGAGGCTGCTTGTCCGCTGGGCCCCACAGCCCCCCTTCTCCCTGTTTTTCTCCCTCTTGCACCTCCCCCCCCTCCAGTGTTAACTTGCAGGAATGAGGGGCCTGCTTGGAGACCTTCAGAGACCAGGCGGGTGGTGACTCAAGGCCAGGGCCTTTTCTGGGGCCAAGTGCCCTGGCCAGTCTGGTGCTGCTGATAAAAGGTAAAGATTTCCCTTGCTCAATAGCCAGTCGAATTAACATAAGAACATAAGAGATGCCAATGTTGGATCAGGCCAAAGGCCCATCCAGTCCAACACTCTGTATCACACAGTGGCCAGAAATACCAGTGCCATCAGGAGGTCCACCAGTAAATAAAATTTATTTATTTATTGTTTATAGTTATATCCCGCCTTTCCAGATATCTGGCTCAAGGCGGCTAGCAACAGTAGAATGGTATAAACAACCAAGTTAAAGCAATTCATAAATACCATACCAGTTAACACAACACCAGTTGCAATGAACCCAACAGAAATGGCGGCCATCCGGATCCCATCCAACGATAGGGGTAGCGTCCAGGGAAATCTCAGGCCCGAGGGTGTTCCAAAATTCCAGACCAGACGATGTTCCAGGGCACACTCATCAGTGGCAGCCCCTAATCGAAAGTGTGGCGGAAGAGCTCCGTCTTTCAGGCCCTGCGGAACTGTAAAAGTTCCCGCAGGGCCCTGATATTCTCCGGGAGCTCATTCCACCAGGTTGGGGCCGCCACTGAAAAAGCCCCGTTTCTGGTGACATTCAGCCTGGCTTCTTTCGGACCAGGGAGGGTCAGGCAATGTTGCGACCCTGACCGCAGTGCTCTCTGGGGCACATAGGGGGAGAGGCGGTCCCTCAAGTAGGCAGGCCCCTGAGCACATAGGGCTTTAAAGAATCCGGTTCTAGGGGTGCGGTGCTCATATCCGTTTCCAAGCTGAAGAGCCAGCGCTGTCCGAAGACTTTTCCGTGGTCCTGTGGCCGGCATGACTAAACGCCAAGGTGCATGGAACGCTGTTACCTTCCCACCGAAGTGGTACCCATTTGTCGACTTGCCATTTCTTGCTTCCGAACTGCTAGGCTGGCAGGAGCTGGGGCCAGAGACAGGAGCTCACTCCGTCACGTGGCACTCGGGTCTCGAACTGCCGAACTACCGACCTTCCGGTCTGCAACTCAGCATCTTAACCTCTGAGCCACCACGGCACCCCTCTGGTGCTAATAGGATGCTTTTAAAAACAGGACTGTCAGAAGATCATCTGACGAGGACTCAGACTCAAAACTTGGGGCGGCAGCCCCAAAAACAAGGTATAAGTTGAGAAAGGAAAAGGATAGATGGAGACTTGTCACTGTTTCTAGGATCCTTTACAAGGGCTTTTACCATTTTTTATATTGCTTTTTACGAAGTCGGATACATAGGTGTTATCGTATGTTTTAACTTTAAATAGAATGTTTGATGACCACATCCAATGAACTTTAACTGAAATTGTAAGCTAAAAGCTAATTTTTACAAGGACTTTGTATGACCACCATCTCTTGGGTTCTTAGGGTTTTTTTTTTTTACTTCGTTGTCTCCCATAGTTTGTAGATTCCCTCCCTTATTTTCGTTGTCGTTTATAGAAAATGCAATTTTAAAAATCCCCTACGGGGGGTGGGGGGGGAAAAAAAAAACAAAAAACAGGACTGTCTGCTTCAAGATGGGCTGCTGTGTTCGTCTTTCTGCAGCAGCAGGAAAGAGCAAGAGTTCCAGGAGCACCTTCAAGACTAACAAAACTTGTGGCAGGGGGGGGGGGGGGTCACTGGCTCACTTCTTCAGTTATCTGAAGAAGTGAGCCGTGACTCACGAAAGCTCCTCCCCTGCCACATAGTTTGTTAGTCCTGAAGGTGCTCCTGGACTCTTGTTCTGTCTGCTTTGAGTATTTGAAGGGCTGTCATTACAGAGGAGAGCCACGGTGGCTCAGAGGTTAAGACGCTGAGCTGCAGACCGTAAGATCGGTAGCTCGGCAGTTCGAGATCCGAGTGCTGCATGACGGGGTGAGCTCCCGTCTCTGGCCCCGGCTCCTGCCAACCTAGCAGTTCGAAAGCAAGAAACTGCAAGGAGACAAATAGGTACTGCTTCGGTGGGAAGGTCGCAGCGTTCCGTGCGCCTCGGCGTCTAGTCATGCCGGCCCCCATGACCACAGAGAAGTCTTTGGACAGCGCTGGCTCTTCGGCTTGGAAGCGGAGATGAGTGCCGCCCCCTCGGGTCGGATTCGACTGGCTTTCGAGCAAGGGAAACCTTTACGTTACATTACAGGGGATGGAGCGGAGTTGTTTTCCGTTGCCCCAGAAGGTCCAACGGGAACCAGCAGGTTGAAATTAAATCAGAAGAGTTTTTGGCAAAACGTTAGGAAGACCTTCCTGACACTTGGGGCGGTTCCCCAGTGGAGCAGGCTTCCTCGGGAGGTGGTGGGCTCTCCTCCTTTGGAGGTTTCCAGACAGAGGCGATTAGATGGCCATCTGACAGCCATGAAGAGTCGATGGCTCACTGTGAATTTAGGCAGACGGTGAGAAGGGGGGCAGGAAGGGAGGAGCCAGTGCTCTGCCCTTCTCGTGGCTCTTTCTTACATGCCTGGAGGGGGGGGGGATGCCAGTGGCCACTTTAAATAAATAATAAATAAATAAATATTTATTTGGGGTCAGGAAGGAGTTTTCCTCCAGGTCATATTGGCCCAGGGATCCTGGAGGTTTTTTTTTGCTTTCCTCTGGAGATAGGGCCCAGGGTCACTGGGGGAGTGCGGGGGGGGGGAGTAACTGTGAATTTCCTGCATTGGGCTGGGGGTTGGACTAGATGACCTTCGGGGGGACCCTGCTGGTCCTGTGTTTCTCACTCCCCGGCCATCTGTGACTCGCTGGCACTGGCTCAGCCATGAGCCGCTTTGGAGAAACCGGTGGCCTTGCTTGAAGGAGCCCGGGGCAGCTCGCCCCGCTTTGTCGACGCTCCATGGTCAGAGCTGACCTCAGCTCCGCGTGCGCATCGGAAGTGCTGTGCATGCATCAGAGTCCAACCAGGGGTCATTTCCCGCGGGAGCGCACAGGAGCAGAGCTCTGGCAGTAAGGAGCCCGGGGGGTGGGCACATGCAACAAGCCCCGCCCCCTGCACCTCTCAGTCGGGCCACGAGGAGCAAGAAGCGGCCAGGTAAGTTGCAGAGGCCACCCCCCCTCGGCCCGCCTTCAGGTACAAGCTCTCCCTCCTCTGTGAGGGCAGATCTGCGTGT